ATAAATTAAGTAAAAAATATTTAAAATCCTTTATAAAAGGTATATAATTTAAAAAAACCCAATTGGGCTATATCACAAAACGTTCTCGGAATCCATATTCCATCATTAGTATCTAGGTGTATATGTATTGAGCCACTAAATATCTGGGTAAAACCCCGTTAAAAATTATTTGTTTAATTTAGTTTACATTATATATATATATATATATATATATATATATATATATATATATATATATATATATATATATATATATATACATATATATCGGAAAAAGGAGTACGACCGTCAATCCAATATATATAAGCATCACTCAGACGAGTGGTGGGTTCTTATATCGGTCTCTAGGTGGAGAAATAAAAGACAAAGTTGATAGGCTACTTTATCTATTTTGAAGACGTTTCGCTTTCGAGTTTTGAAAGCATCATCAGTTCATCTAAAAAAGTACAATATGAGAACCACACAATCATGGAAATATGTTAATTGTTACCTTAAAAAGACATGTAGCAGTCAATGTTATTAACAATAATGTGAATGAAACTTAAGTAAATGGACATAATACGCTGATCTTGTATAAACAATTAAGTAACTAACAACATGATCATCGTCAATTTAAAAGTTTAAATGAGTTTGGATGACTACCCGGTTGTAAAAGACAAAACAGTGAAAGAAATTGGTATTGTAATAGCAACTCCTCTCACTAATCAGCCTAGATTTACAAACAGGAGATTTTCATTCAACCTCATATGTATGTAATAACGTTAATCATTCAAGAATCAATCAAGGATTCTATAAATCAATTACATTATTTGTATTATTTTATTTAAGTATAAATTGTTCACACTAATCTAAGTAATAAGTGTATGAAAATGCAATGTAAGTTGCATATGTAATAATAAGTTAAGTGAAGAATATTTAAGGCTGTTTTCGCAGTTATAGCATACTGCGATTTGAAGTGGGCGTATCACTTACTTTTCTACACTGCTATGTCAGACCCTACGTGACCTCCTAATAGTTTGGATGTTTATTCAGTGGCGCCGGCCCACGGGTTGTTTAAAATAAATGCATTATTCTCCATTCAAATTAGTTTTGTCGGAATACTTTTTTTTAGATTAATTATCGTAGATAATGTTTTAAAAAGAATTAATCACATTTTTAATTTATATGTCTTAGCTAAACATAGTATTAAATAAAAATTTGTGAAACGTGACTGCAAAAAACACCATAGTGTTTATTTATAATAAATTTAAATTTTATATTAATATTAATATATAATTAATATTTTGTTAATATTTGTTAGAGAAAACTGATATTAGCGTAGTAAAAATTTAACAAAAAATATTTTTATTTATCTATAAAAAATTGGTACCTGCGAAACCATCATAATAGTAAATGTATTTATCTGGCAAGTATTTCGAGGCGACGCACTGCGAGGAAAATGTTCTCTGAATGGAATATACATTATTTTAATATATTTATAGGTTGCAGTTACATAAGAAAAGTATCCAATTGATGAATAAAACACAAATCGTGGATAGTTATTTCATCATATCAGTGGTATTACAGCTCGTCATGAGCCAAAGGCTTCTTCAGAACAATCTTCCATTCGCCCCTGCCTCTGGCAACTTTCTCCATGCTTTAACTCCGATGGATTTTAGATCATCCTCTGTGTTATCTTGATACCTAAGTTTTGGTCTTCCTCTGGATCGTCTTCCCACTGGTCCTCTTCGGTCGAAAATTTTTCTGATCGTTTCATCTTCATCTCGCCTAATTACATGTCCTATCCATCAAAGGCGTACTAGTAAATTTTACAACGTCAGGTGCTACACCTGAAGAAGCATCGTAGTTTACTTTATACGATCTTTCTGACCAAGCACCATCAGCTATAACGGTTATTAACCCATTTCCGTCGGAATCTACTTCACCAATTTCTTTGGCTAAAGCTAATTCCTCCCGTCCAGCCTCTTCTAAGGAATCACAAAGTGTTTGGCCGATGATATCTGCAACTGTTTCCGTATGTTTTGCATACTGCCTGTAGGAAATCACAGGTATATTTAATGCAGCGTTCTGCTGCTGTATGTCTGAATAACCAGAACCATTCAAGTTCAGTGAATTGTTACCAGAATCCTATGTTGCTATCTCCTTTTCAATATTCCACATTTGACATTTAAAAGTCAATGTACTTATCAATCCGTCCATTTTTTCTTTGATAACCTCCAAATTAGGAAGTTATCATATAAAAAAATGGAGAATGATTATTCAAACCTTGAATAGATATATATATATATATATATATATATATATATATATATATATATATATATATATATATATATATATATATTAAATAAAAGCTTTTAAAAACGGTTGTAATATAAATAATAAATACTAAAGCAGTGCAATTGCTCTTTTCCTTGACATAGGACGTTTACTGGGACTCATTTTTTATCTTGTCTCTTATAACTTATATCACTAACCTAATGTAATACTTAAAAATACGCGTAAACTAAAGAACTTTTAACTTATACCACTAAACTAATAATATATTACTTAACATACACGTAAACTAAATAATTTCAATGTTTTCAAAATAAATAAGAATACTGTAAACTGTAAAAACTAAGCAAGTTGATAAAGAAAATACAAGAATGAAAGAACTAAAATGGATTCTAATTCAAGCGAACTAACTGACCGTACCCATAGAGAAATAAAAATAGGACCGTACCGTACGCTCATGAGATCTGACGTCACTAATGCGATAACGATCAAGCTCAGCGACAATGATGAGGAACACGTTTTACTATTAGATTTCAGTATTTTTTAGCAATTTTCTTCAAAGTTTGAATACGCTTTTCTCGATTATTACTGGACATAGAAAGGTGAAAAAAGAATCAACGATTACAGAAAAAAAAACTCTTTCAACTGATGGGCGTGAAAAGTTTGGTTATAATAGAACGTTAAACAGTATAATCCAATTTTTCAACAGAAAATTCAAAAAAATAAAAAAAGTAAAACCATCAGTTTAAAGGCAACATAATTTCGTATAACATGTCCAAATTTCGAGACATTTCGTCGGTAAATAACAGAGAAAAAATTTTGGTGCACCGATAAAACAGCCTTAATTATTTTATGTATTTTATTTCTATTTTATGTATATAAATTATTTCATGAAAATGGAAAAAAGGTTCAAGTAGTACACCTAATATGACATTTAATATAGTGAAAAGATCAAGAAGCCTAATTCTACAAAATTAAAGCATGATATATTTGGCTCAAGTTACTTATATCAGTTCTCTTATTCAAAGCATTAGGGTGATTTAGTATTGAACACATTTCCAAAAACTGTCTTTTAGCTAGATTGCGTTCAGTGGCAAGGATCTTAACTTCATTGAAATTCACTTCATGTTTGGTATTTATCGCGTGTTGTGCCAGGGCACAAGTGTGTTTTGATAAATTATTGTCACTACGATGTGAAGTGAGACGACCTTTTAATGATCTACCAGTATGACCAATGTAACATAAATCGCAATAAGCGCATGGAATTTTATAAATTGTGTTAACTTGTTCCAAAGTGGACAAGGGTGTTTTAGTTTTAGAGAACAAATTTCTAACAGTTTTAGCATTCTAAAATTCTAAATTGCTGTTAAGACGACGTGTCTTCTTCTTTTTTGAGTAACGTGCCCAACTGTAAGGCGTGGGTAGCTTCCATGACTGCCGAAATCGTTCTTGATCTTAGGGGACGAGGACTTAATGATAGCAAAAAAAGTTTTTTCGAATGTTCTTACTGCTAATTCCGTAAGTCCATTTTAAATTCGACAGTCGTGTATTAGCCAAGGGTGTATTAAATAGATAACAACAAGATGTATACCACAGCTGTCTAAGTAACAGACCTAAATTTGTAACCGTTTTAATGGTAGAAACGTGTGATACACGTGAAACGTGTGATACAGGTGAAACTTGTCGGTGACACAGTATTGCCACGGACTGATTGAACTTATTAATATACCGACTGTGTTAATTCTTCTGAGGTTTGGCTGACGCGAGCTCGAGCCTAGCGCTCATCCAGTGCTGGATTTTGAACTGGTACTCATTTAAACTGCGGACTGATGTCCACTTACTTCCTTGAATCACTACGCTCGTAATCGTTTCTAATTATTCAGAAATCTCTTCGCTTAACCCCTCTACGTATATAAAGGATATCTTTACAGTTTAAATACCTTCGACTTTTATTTTTATTAATAAAATTACCTGAGAAGGGTAACTTTCGTTAATGTTGGGTAATTTCAAATGACTCAAACCCATAATTTGGAATTACTAATCCTTTCATTGTTTTGATTTTTTTAAGATTTTAGAAGCTTGTGTCTAGAAAGGTATTTGATTGCAAGCTATGAATATGATACGAAAATAAAATAGAAATATAAAAATATTAAATATTGTTGTTACGCAACAACATGGACTCTCAACCAGAGGACAATCAATATGCTTCTAATATTTCAATGAAACGTTCTCAGAATAATATTTGGCCCTCAAACAGATGAAGAGGTGAATTCATAGGGGATTGGAGAAGGCGTCCAATGCTGAATTGGAGAGTTAGGCATATCATGGCAAACCGAATAAGATGGTCAGGTCACTTGGTACGATCATAGGATGACAGAGTGTTAAAGACAGTGTTTTTTAAAGACCAGATGGCAGAAGATCAGTAGGCTGACCGGGGAAAAAATGGAAGAATGTTGTTAAAGCCGATTTATCTAGAATTGAGGTACAACAATAAGAAATAGAAGCGCAAGGTCGTAGAGGATGAAGGGCGATAGTGGATCCAGCGAAGACTTACCCCGAGTTGTAACGTCAGTGAAGAAAGAAGCAGGTGAAACAATTTTAATTTTTTGTAAAATTTTAAATGGTGTTTTCCTCCTTGTCGTCTTTTATGACTTGTTTCCCTTTTCACGCCAAACAGCGAATTATAGTGTAAATAAAACCAAAAATTCAATATTATTTTTTTAATTATACTACAATTGTCTAAATAATTTTAATGTTTTTTTATCTTTGATTGTGGTGACGTCTTAATAACCAGTCTTATTATTCGTTTTATACAAAAATAAAATACATAAATAAAAATTGCTGCTAGTAAAATCAAAAAGCCAATCACATCTAGAAGTAAATACTGATAAAAAGGCATGTCTGTTACAGCAGTCCTCATAAAAGGAGCTCCTTTATACTTGGCAACATATTCGATCCAATAAATGGCGGTGTCCATTGGGGACATCGGTCTATCTTTGAATCTTTCTGATAATAGTTTGGCATTCTGGGCAAACCTAAAATACAGATAAATATTTATTTACATTGCGTTTAAAATTATTGATAGCACAGCTTTTATGACATTTGTATACAGTGTGGGTCATGAGGAACTTTACATACTTCTACCATATGTAGAGTCCATCAGGGAGCATATCATGTGGCCACTAAAAAATGTCAACTCCTCTTCTTTATTAATTAACAGGGTGATTTGTGTAATTGTGTAATTTTTTTAATTTTTGCATGATACTGTACACTACTATCAAGCATTCGACTGGTATTAGCTGAACTAAAAAATTCAAGGACTGGCTTTGAAAAAATCAATTTAGGGATTCGTAATAAATATTACACCCTGTATATATATATTTTTTAAATGCAATAAGTGATTTTCAAACTACATAAATAGCCAATGAAAACGACATATGTGACAATGTTGTCGCACTTTTATTAAATTTTTAGTGAACGATCAAATCTTACCAAAAATAGAACAACCATAATGAAGTATCAAATTATAAGGTAATTAATTTAAACAAATGTTAATCAACGGGATTGAAATCGGGGGATCTTGAAGGCCACGAAATAGGACCTTCACGTCCTATCCACCTGTTGCCATAAACATTATTGAGATGTTGTCTCACTGCCAGTAAAAAGTGTGGGGGTGCCCCATCATGCTGAAAATACATCCCTCGGATAGCAACGTTCGCGTTGGCAAGCAAATTCGGCAAAATATTTTGTAGAAAAATCAAATAGACCTGCCCTGTTAAAGGACCATCAAAAAAGTGAGGACCTACTAATTGGTTATTTATGACACCAATCCACATGTTAACCGAAAACCTTAACTGAGAACGACGTTCTCGAATAGCATGGGGATTTTCTTCTGCCCACACATGTGAATTTCGTGAATTATTTATCCCGTCTCTGGTAAATTGGGCTTCGTCTGTAAATAGTGTCCTGTATAGCGTTGGTCGATTATTGTTAATCCATCTACAAAATTTCAACCTATCGATCTCATCTCCAGCATGTAGTCGCTGAACCATTGGAATGTGATGTGGGTATAGATTATTTTTTTGTAAGACTCTACTTACTTTTGATTGAGTAACATTGAGTTCTCGACTTACTTGTCTAGTGCTTATTGTAGGGTTCATAGTAACGGCGTCCATAATGTCATCTTCCTACGCTTCATCTACATGTCGCTCTGTTGTTCCACTAGGAAAAGTGCCATTTTCTCGTAAATAATTAAAAACTGACCCAAATGTTGGATGACTGGGAGTTTGACGATTAGGAAATCTCTTGCAACATTCTCTACCATCAGCCCTACCATTCCCATTACAGAATCGATAAACAAATATTATGTCTGCATATTCTGTGGTCGAAAACTGATGTGGCATTTTGAACGAAAGTAACAAAAGCTCTACCAAAACTAACACAATGTACTTAACGTAGATATGACAGAAGAAATATGTATTCTTGTACACATAAATAACAATTGATAATGACAATAATGACAATGGGTATAAAATATCAAGAAACGTCAAACGGTCAACGCCAACCTTCATTTTAAACTTTTTTAGATTTATTTTTATTTAGTACAGTTGATGCAATGTATTATTATTTGACATAAAATTTTAATCATTTACAATCAACAAAAACTAACACATACAAGAGGTTTGACTTTTTAATCAATTTAATTTATTATTTATCGAAAATAATGCCCCAATACGATCTATAAGTAAAAATTTAAAATTGAAAAACAATAGATTCTATCGTAGAGATAATACAAAGTGACAGTAAAGATGTTAATTTTCTACGTATTAGATTATGTTGTAGGAACTCATTTTAATTAAAATGTTTGAAATTTATAACATTTGTTTAAATTAATTAACTTATAACTTGATACTTCATTATGGTTGTTCTATTTTTGGTAAGATTTGTTCGTTCACTAAAAATTTAATAAAAGTGCGACAACATTGTCGCATATGTCGTTTTCATTGGCTATTAATGTAGTTTAAAAATCACTTATTGCATTTTAAAAAAGATATATACAGGGTGTAATATTTAATACGAGTCTCTAACTTAATTTTTTTAAAGCCAGTCCTGGAATTTGTTAGTTTAGCTAATACCAGTCGAATGCTTGATAGTAGTGTACTGTATCATGCAAAAATTAAAAAAATCAAATGAGCCGTATAAACACTGCAGTAAAATGAAATAAATGGTCGATTACACAAATTACCCTGTTAATTAATAAAGAAGAGAAGTTGACATTTTTTAGTGGCCACATGATATGCTCCCTGAGGGACTCTACATATGGTAGAAGTATGTTAAGTTCCTCATGACTCACCCTGTATATTATGTCATAATGTATAAGTTTTGTTGAGGTAGTCTAATATTTATTTATTAGATATTTTTTTATTTTATATTCTTTTTACAAAACTTAGACGAGCAGGTATCGAGATTTATAATTATTGTGCTTTGAATTATCCTGTATGAATACTGTTGTAATCTTCTGTCATAAATTATGTGTTTTAATGCAGAGTGTATGAAAATGGTGATGTTAAGATATTTTTTAAAAATGTTCAAAACAATAAAATATGCGATATAGGAAAAACAATGAGGTTATATTACTTATCATGAAACGTATTTACCGTATAAGTGTATTAATTAGCATAGTTTTCGATATGTACATTTAAATAAATTAAAATTATGATGATTGATAATTATCATATCATAATTATTACTTAATTTTGAACAAGGAATATAATTAAAAAAAAGTGGAATAAATAATTTAATACTAACTTACATTATCGACTAAGTGATCTTCATTATACTAATTTAACTAACAGATTAAAAATACTCAACCATTTAAAACTAACATACTTCAAATCCTTGAAACCTAATAAACACAAAATTTTATATATTATAGGCAACTTTAAAGCAAAAATTGGAGAATGTCGACGTTCAAACGGTAGGTTCTTATGTTCTAGGACAACCTAACGATTAAGGACACAGTTTGTATAAATTTTATAAAGAAAAGGATATGAAACACTTGGAAAGCCCAATTTAATAATGGTAAAAACCCTGAGTCTTCAAGAAATCAAATAGGCTATATACCTGTAAATGAGAGCTTCCGAAATGCCATCAAAAAAATCACATTTCCTGGGGCATATATTGGATCTCATTATCAACCACTTGTAGCAGATATTAAACTAAAAGTTAAAAATAATTCAGCGACAAAAACCAAAAACCAATGTACTTGACTTTGACTATATAAACATGGAACATAACATTAAAAAGAATTTAACAATGGAATAAAAAACATCAGAGAACAACTAGAAGATCCAAAAGATCTACTATGGAGTACAAAACTATGGAGTAAATATAAAAACCATATTAACGAAATCTCCACAAACAATAATTATAAGAAAAACTTAATAAAGAAAAATAAACGGATGACACACGACATCTTAAAATTAATGGAACAACGTCGAATGATAGAATCAAATAAAACAGAATATAGAACCCTGCAGGGAATAATAAAATAGCCAGAGAAAAATGGGCGAGAGAAAACTGCGACAAAATGGTGGATGTAATATCTGAACACGACTTATTTAGTGTGCACACAAAACTTTTAAACATATTTAAAAAAGGAGTTTCCTTTGTGCTCATTGAATAGTAACAAAATTATTGTAAAAGACCACGATATAAGAAAAGAATGGCAGCTGTATATATTAGAGTTATTTAAAGATGACAGGAATAATACTGCCGAATTCTACCAAAACTGTAGTGATGGCTCAAAAATTATGAAATCCAATGTAGAACACGCTATAAATATTGCTAAAATATGAAAAGCTTGTGGTTCAGATGATACACCAACTGAGTTGCTTAAGACATAAAGACCGCTTATCTGGTCATTTTTCCCCTAAGAAATTGCAAGATTCCAGACTATTCCTAGTAGATCAAGTTCAAGCCATTTTCCTTAAGTCCGAAATACTATCTCTGACGCAAGGTCAATTGTTACTTAACAAACAAATTGCTTCACTGAATCCCTTCATTGATATCCACATTACTTAGAGTAGGTGGTCGACTCTAAGTATTCGGATGTACCCTTTGATCAACGACACCCCCTATTGCTCCCTGCGCGTAATCACTTCACGATACTGTTGCTCACCTCAGAGCATCAGCGTCTGGGACATGCAGGATCTCAAACCACCTTAAATAATGTCCGCTTAAGATATTTGCCCCTTGACGGACTTAGGTGTGTAAAACGTATAATACACTTATGCAATACTTGCTTTAGGTTCAATGCCATCGCCTCAACCCAAATTATGGGAGATCTTCCTCGTGAACGAGTCACATCGAAAAGACCTTTTGAAAATACAGGAATAGATTTTGGAGGCCCCCCTTTTGCATAAAGTCCTCTTCCTTGAGAAGAGCCCCTACATCTAAAGGTTACATAGCATTGTTTGTATGCTTAGCTACCAAAGCAGTCTATTTAGAAGCAGTGTCTGACCTCACGACAGACGCCTTCCTTACTTGTCTTAAAAGATTCATAGCTAGACGTGGTATCCCATCCATTATCTACAATGACAATGGATCTAATTTTGTGGGTGCCAATAACCATCTCACTCTTCTTAGAAAACATTTCTCAACTCAGCCTTATGTGTTTCACGAGATCTTTGCTTCTCAAAATATCACTTGGAAATTTATTCCTTCCAGATCCCCACACTGAAGTGGATTATGGGAAACCTCAATAAAAAGTGCGAACTCTGTATATACTTTTGAACAATTCTGCACTATCCTTGCTCAAGTGGAGGCCGTTCTTAACTCTCGCCCTCTATTCCCATTGTCTACTGATCCATTAGATCTACAGCCTCTTACTCCAGGACACTTCTTAAAAGGTGCTCCTCTGTTATCTTATCCAGAGGTAGATGTTTCATGCACTCCGGATAATCGCCTGAAGCGCTGGCAACAGTGCACTCGAGTTCAGTAACTCTTTTGGAAGCGTCGGACCTCGGATTACCTAAATCGGCTCCAAAACTGACCCAAATGGATTCTTATAACTCCTAATATTAAAGTCGGCAATTTAGTATTGGTTAAAAACCTTGACTACCCTCCCTTGCAGTGGCCACTAGCAGTTTAAATTCGCACGAAAAGTGGAACGTTTATTCGCCCTATCACTAAACTAATCCCCTTACCTCCAGATGAGACCTCAACGCATGTTCTTGACCCTTTTTCCGCTTTATAGTAAATGTAAGGCTACAAGATATTAGACACTTCTCTGGGGGGCAGTATGGTTGTAAACTGATTTTGTTTACAACCCTGTAATTTTCAAAATAGTATATTTCCGCTTGTTTATTAACTTTACTCCACCCAGTATGCCAAGTCGCTATGTTCAATACCTTATCAATAATCTCTAACAGTACTCGAACCCTGTGAACCATTACCTAGTACCCGATATCGGCGACCGATGGTCGAAAGATAAAGCCCCTCTCTCTGTTAGCAACCCCCGCGGAAGAAGCATGATGCTTTAAAATACTCAAATTTGTGATTTTGTTAGTTGCGATTCTCAGAGCGTGTGTCTATCTCATCAAGTGTTGAGCAATAAGAAAAGTTGTCTCCGCGATTGTGAAACAACAACTTTGTGTAACCACGTATATTGTATATTGTACCCGTTGTATATTGTGTTTGTGCTAAGTATAATACGTAGAGAAATAAATGTTAGTTACAAGTTACTTGTATTATTTACGTACAATACACATTCAAAATAATACAGTCCACTCAAAAACTCTCAGAGAATATCGGCGGTATAAGTTCGTAGCAGATTAAAACCACGTGAAATCACAGATAATTCCACCCCAAACGCCGGCATTTTCTCCAATGTTCGTAGAAATGTTCAATATCTTCATCGCTGTAGGTACTTGTTAGAGCGTACACATGTATGATTTTTAAGGACGTTCTTTTTTATTTAAGCGTCGTGTATGCTACTCTATTTGATATGCCCTTGGTAGATTGTATGTATTTTTCTCCTTTTTTATTAATTATAAGTCCTAATCCATTGTTGGTGTTTTCTCCATTACCTTTATAGTATAGCAAATTTTATGATAGTCTTGCTGTTAACTCAAAATAATAAAAATGACGTTTACAACAGAGAATTATCTTTCAAAAAATATAATTATTTAAATAATAATTCTACTTACTGTGGTGTTAGTACTTTATTAATAGCTTCTGTCAAAGATTTTTCTGTTGCAGTTCTTAGTTTAATATGTAAAGAAGCTCCAGTTTTTTCTAAAGCAGCTGCGTTCAAGTGTTGATCGGCAAACTGTGGAAGAATTAACATTGGTACTCCGCAATAGACAGCTTCCTGTCCTCCCAAAAGTCCTCCATGGGTAATAAAGAGTTTTAGATTAGGATGACCTAAAAATTGTAATGATGACCTAATTAGAATGATCTAATCCAAATTTCAAAAGAATGTACACAAACATAATGTAGCATCAATCTTTAGTACAATAAACAGGCTAGGGAGAAATAACCGTAATATTATCATTAGAAGATTATATAGAAAAAAAATTTTCGTTTGACTAGGCGTTCGTCAAGTCTATATAATCTCGAATCGCAACGGCATATCAATTGGTTTATAGATATGTTAAAATTACTTATGCCATATAAAATTAAATGGACTTGCGAATTTTCAAACAAATGGACTTAAGCTTCTACCTCATATTTTTTGTTTCCTAAAATCGATATCTATTTCGAAAATTGATCTTTTTTTCCGGCATTTTAAGTGTTTAATTGCGTTTTACGTTTAAAGTAACGCTCCTTTCATATTACACGATTTTGCTCGTGCGGGAAAAAATCGCCCGGGCAATTTTTCTTGATCGACTGTTGAAGAGTACGAGACCTTTCACATTGCACGATTAGAACACGGGCACGTTTTGTAATCGTGTTGCAGCTGTCCAATGCTACTAGAACCGCACGGCTACCGTATCGCCCTCTAGCTCAGTGGCCTACGTGACCAAATGCACGCTTTCACACTAGACGGTCTTTAGTCGTACGGGAACTGTTCCCAGTATTGTTTCTACCGCGTTCAGTTTTGGTGGTTTGTTTGCAAATTATCGAAGGTGTTGACGCTGAAGTTTTAATATCCCTAGTTGAAGCAAAACGATATGGGACAAAACATTTTAGAAATTTATAGGGATAGAAATGCAACAAGGAAAGCCTGGGAAGAAGTATGTTTATTGTTTAGCACTCAATCCGGATTTAGAGAACAATGGCGATGGAGAAAAAAATGCATTTGGTAAGTACTATACCTATTAACATTCTATTCAGCAAAGTAAACTTACTTTTTGAACGTATGTATATTGTATTTTTTAATGTATATTGGTGTTGTATGTATTGTACACTTCACTTGATTTACTATCTACAACAGAGACACTTTTTATTTTTATTTCATTTATTTATTTATGTTCACATTATGACAAAATTATACTTTAGACATTTGCCAGAATATACTTTCGATTTCTGTTAAAAAATATGAGCTTAGCACACTTCTGATATTGTTTGCTTCCAAGCCTCCTCGTGTAGTACTTTCTCCTGATACATCTTCCAGGCCTGTCATCGTCATTGTGTCCTCAACATAATATCCGTCTCTGTCACGTACAAAATTGTGCAATACGATGTACGCATTGACGATGAGCACTGCGAAATGTGGCTTAACGTTGATAGGGCGATGGAATATACGCCATTTATTGCTCAGGAGGCCAAACGCACATTTCACATATTTTCGTGCTGTGCACAATCTATAATTAAAGACCCCTTTTTCAACTGTTAAGCATTTCCCTATAAAGGGTCTCAGTAGATGTCTGTGTAAGCCAAATGCTTCGTCTCCAACAAAGAAGTATGGTATTTTAGGACTCTCTGTTCCTGCAAGAAATTTTTCCTCAGGTAATGGTGGAGAACCACTGTCTATTGATTTCCACAATTTCTTCTTCTTCATGTACCATGTCCTTTCAGAACGTTGGTTACCATCATAGCTATTTTAATTTTATTCACTGCCACCCTAAATAGAATGCTTGGATCCACAATTTGGACCTCTTAAATATTGACGAGTCACACTCTTTACCATAGCTTCCTACATCAACGTAAACAAATCTGTACTTTGTGTCTGCTACAGCGATAGGGACAATAGAGAAGTAATCTTTGTAAATAAAATATATTGATCCTGAGTCAAACGGACAAGTCAGTCTTATATGCTTGCCGTCCACAGCTCCAAGGCAGTGAGGGAAGTTTGCGATACTTTCAAAGTTGGAAGCAACTGATTGCCACATATCACAAGTTGGTGTCAGTATACACTCTTCTTGCATTTCTGACCAAATAGCAGCACATACTTCTTCAGCTATGTTTTTTGCTGTTGAAATTCCAACTCTGTAGCCGTAGTGCAAATCCGTAAACGTACAGCCACTCGCCAAATATCTGAAATAATGTGAACATTGTCGTTAATAATTATCATACTGAATTGATTGTATTTATTTATTTTATTTTTGTTTTTTACAGGCAAAGAAGTGGTGAAAAGGTGGACTAATCTCCGAGATTGTTTCGCAAAATCGAAAAAAGATGACAAATCTGCTAAAAAAAGTGGATCTGGGGCTAAAACACGTAAGAAATATGTGTTTTCAGACCAACTTCAATTTTTGAATAAGACCTACACCGAAAAAGAAACGATAGACAGCTTCAACCCAAAAATTGTACCAGGAACACTCGAAGAAGATGAAGAGCCCGAAGGCACCACTGGTGAACCTGAAGTTTCTACCAACGTAAACCTGCCATCCAAGCCCGTAGGAACAAGGAAACGAAAGAAAGTAAATAAGTTTAAGGTGAAAATGCTCAAAGCTCTGGAACATAAAACGCCCTGCAGTAAAATGTCCTTCCTTCAGAGTTTAATGCCTCATTTGACACTCTATTCCAACAGTGAATTCCTTCAGCTTTAAGTGGGAGTGTTAAATGTAATAGAAAACATAAACAAACTAAAGGAAACTCCTCATCTTCAATCAAACAACCCCTCTTCTGTGCCCTCTTATCAACCACAACCTCAGTACATGCTTCAGCCATCTCCCGTTAACCAAGCGCAAGCATTTGTCCATGTTCAACAAGCTCCATTTAAACCACAACAATATGCAAATCCTAGTTTTTCGGACTACGTTAAAAATAGCGCACAACAGCTTCACTTTTCTCAATATGTACGTGAACACAAAATCAATCAAGGCCAACGCAGCAATCAACGCCTAAACAATCAGATTCACAATCCGAACTGGATAAAGCATCCTACATCTTAGTACCTACAGGGATTTAGTTACAGCGATTCTTTAGCAACTGAAACTGAGCATAGTCCGTCTTTTTCGGCTTCAGAGATTCTTCAATGTCTGATCTATTTTGAGTGATTAAAATTAAATAAAGTATATTTGCTTATTCAAAAGGTTTTATTATATTACCTACTACTGTAATATTAAGCTTACCTTAAACATATTGCCAGCATTTCAACAGGTTGTATACAGTTTCTGAACTGCGTGTTTTGTCGTTGTAGAACACTCTTCAGTTTCCCATGTAACTCATCAAAAAAGCGAACTGACACACGAAAGTAGTTGAAAAACTTTTGGTCACCGTTTCTAAGATCTTCAAATAATGTGTGAAACATCCCGACTTCCTCTCGTCTCTGATTAATTGGATGAATCCAGTGAAGGCGATTGTGCCTTTGTCTTTTCCGAGGCCGATACAGTCTCCATAACGCAATAACTTGTTCGCGATCCATAATGTTCCGATGAACCGATAAAAAGGTACGATTTTTATCGTTCAAATTGAAGTAGCAAAACCACGATTAAAAATCGGGCGATTTTTTCCCGCACGAGCGAAATCGTGTAATATGAGAGGAGCGTAATTATTTTACTAAAAAACACAAAAGAATAACTTTTGTCTGGGAATAACTAAAAAAGTAATTAGTGGCCAAAAAAAAAAAAAAAACAAATTGGTTCAAAAAATTAATAAAATTGTCAAATAATAATAAGTAAATTGGTTGCCGTAATCAATTTTCCATTGAGAAAATTTTTCCGTTAAAAAAAATCTCAAATTGTTATTTTTTTGTTTTTCTAACTCAAGCTATTTACCTTCAAAGCAATATATAAACCAATATAATTTGTTTCATAAAGTCTATTAAAATTAAATTATTTATAAAGATACGTCGATAGCAATTAAAGTAAACTGTGTACCCAAGCTTAAACAAGCCATTCAGAGCGGTACTGAGAATAAAAATATTCCACTATGTACCAACAATTTACCCATATAAATTACCATCAATTTTTGTACTCATTGCGTCGAGTAGGGACGATAAATATACGAAGAATGTTGCGTTTCGATTTAATTTGAGTCTCTTACCACTCCCTGACACGTGTTTCTGGGTCTACCCGTCATCAGAAGGAGTTTTTAAGAAGACTCCTTCAAACTCCTTCTGATGACGGGTAGACCCAGAAACACGTGTCAGGGAGTGGTAAGAGACTCAAATTAAATCGAAACGCAACATTCTTCGTATATTTATCGTCCCTACTCGACGCAATGAGTACAAAAATTGATGGTAATTTATATGGGTAAATTGTTGGTACATAGTGGAATATTTTTATTCTCAGTACCGCTCTGAATGGCTTGTTTAAGCTTGGGTACACAGTTTACTTTAATTGCTATCGACGTATCTTCATCTTGCCTCACTAGAGGTCTCTAGTTGCATACTCTGGTAGTTATTGTCATGTAATTGCCAGAGTAATCGGTGCGTTTTGATTTGGTTTGAGTCTTCTTACAAACTCCTTCTGATGACGGGTAGACCCAGAAACACGTGTCAGGGAGTGGTAAGAGACTCATTTGAGTCTTCTTACAAACTCCTTCTGATGACGGGTAGACCCAGAAACACGTGTCAGGGAGTGGTAAGAGACTCAAATTAAATCGAAACGCAACATTCTTCGTATAAATTATTTATATTATAATTGTATGTATTTTATGTTATATTTATAAATATTTATGTTTTACAATAAACATTACCTCAAATAGTATATGATTTATTTAATAACTTATTTATTTAAAAAATACATATTTGGTAAGTACGCAAAAAAATAAACAAAGTAAAAAAGAAACGTGGAACTCAATAAACAAGAACCAGATATTATATTCTACAGCTCGTTCCCCCTCCACCACTGCTGAAAATTTTAAAGACGGTCGATTTTTAGGAGTACATTTTGGAGCTTTGTAAACACAGAGGTCGATACTGAATAAACAACTGTCGTTGGCATGGCCGGTTTGTCACAAAAGTGTCACAAAAAACCTTATTTACATGGTCTATCACCCGTTTGTTTTATATAACTTTTACCCTTTTACACAAT